CTTCCCCCTCAACCCCCTAAACAATTTAATAATTATAATTAAATGAGATAAACCGAGACTTGTCTTTTGGCGTATGGTAATTTAGGCTACGGTCAAGCGACGCCCTTGTTACATTATTTAATTTCCAATGTTTAGAAGTGTCCTAGCCAGAGTTGTTTTCGCTTTATAGTTTGGAACTTTACATTTTTAGAGCACTTTTGATCATGGAGTAAAATCAAAGTCTGCCCTTCACAATCATCCTATTCTCTCTTCATGATTTTATTTACGTAACGTCGATATGATGGTCGCTTAGAGGAATTATTTTTTACAACTTTCCGAATTTCAGGGGGACAACCCCTTTTCCTCGGAGAAGCATTCCCCCCCCCCCTTTTTTTTTTGCCTATTGCCTTTCTACAGCTCTTGTAAACAAATGATGAAATCACCACGTATTGCCTACGCTCTTCAGCTTCATTACTGAATCCTAAGATAAAACTATAGTGGGGAGCGTGTGGCTGACGAGCGAATATTTTCTATATTTGGAGACCTAAAATTTACTTTATGGAGCTCTGATTAGGCCTATAAAGTGTGGTATAGCCATAATTTATTTATCACCTGTACATTTCTTCTTTTCTTATACTTTCAGAATGTATGGGGAATAATTCCATAAACAAATTTTTAAAAAAGAAAACCTAAAGTACGCCCTCTACTATATCCGTCTCTGCTTACTTTTCAATGATTGTTCTTGTCTTCCATCCGTTTTGACAGAAAAGTTCTTAGTAATGTAGCTAAAGTCGGGGTAATAACATCCAAAACCCCGAGGAAGCACATACAGATGCTTTAAAAATGTGAAAACATAATATACAAGAACCGAATGATTTTAACTTAAGTGTTAAGTACATGATTTGATTTGGGTAGAATCCGGCAAATTGTGAAACTGTAGTACGTACAGTGAATATTTCTTGATTTTAAAAGTGTATGCCTTCATGGGGAGGGTATATTTCATTAGGGTAGTGTAAGGTGTAGTGCATTTTGCTACCTGCTATATACACCCTGGTTTGATGTTAGCGTGAACTAGGTACCGACTATTGATTCAAGACCAAATTGATAAATTATCTAAATTCGTAGAATATATTTGTTTGTATTATTTTTAATAACTATTCGAACAAATAGTCGTACATATTGCTCCGATTGTCTCATTTTCGCTCGCTCGATCACTGCAGCACAAACATAGCTCATTCGACGTCACTGCCAAACTAGCCAATCAGCTGTCAATGACGTCATATTGAATGAGGCGGCAAATATATTTTGTGAAATTATCGAGAAATTGACTATTTCTAATCGCAAACTAGTTTTAATTTTGGATGGAAAAGCAGCCATTGTTATCTTGACATTCATTGAAGTCATCAGAATAGGGTAAGTTACTTCTCAGATGATTCAAGAGGTCCATTTTGTAGATAATTTTTTAATTTCTTAGAATGTTCCACTGTGTTGCAGGGTACCGGGTGTATATGCCATTGGGTGTGATGTGTTCGCGCGCTATAATTACAGGCCACACTGACCTCAGTGACAGGCCACCGCGCCGTCGGGTGTATTCTCGTACTGATGTAGGTGCAACACTAGAATGGCTACCACGCCCACTTCCCTATCTATGCCTTCCTGAACATTCCTTTCCTTCTCAATACAATAACTTTCACCTGCCTAAGTTATTCAAACCATACCGCCTCGCCACTTCCATTACGTAATCATTAAAAGGATCCGCATATACAACATTTTCCTGCTATACGTTGTACTGCAGGAAATACAAATCTCCCTTGTATACCTCACAGTCCAAACGATAAATATGTGCCTTTAACGAAGCAGGCGACAATCGGCGTAGCAGACGACACTTGATAGTAATTTTGTATGTGAGATTGCTTTGCTAAATATAAATTACTTTGTTAATAAATATCAACTAAAATTTCTTTTACATTTCTTTAAACCATCATTGATATTTAATAATTGAATGAGTAAAAGAAACATACCAAACTATATAATTCGTCACCGTTTTTACGAAGTGGCCTCGTAGCCCGCGCAGCAACAAAAGTGAATTTCGAGATAAACGCATTTTAACATTTCATGTTATTAAAACGGGGGTTAACGTACATCTTAAAAGATTTCCTTTGACAACCACATAGTACAGATTCTAACGATTCTGCTCATATATATTTTGTTTACAAAAAATATATAATAAAGTGGGGATATTGTAACAAACTGTGGAGACGGTTCGTGAAAACGAAAATATGCGCATTCAACACACGCGTCGTGGAGTGCGCGGCCGGTTTTTCTGTGTGAGGTCTCGCATTTTCCGTTTTCACGAAGTGGCCTATTAGACAGCAGGCTATGGAAGTTTGGATAAAGTTTTACGTAACCACTATCTACGGATTTCGTTTCCTTTCATCTGATGAAGTAGTATTACCCCTTTAAACAACAAATATTTTTTTCGCAATTTAATTACTTGCACATTAATGAGTTATCATCATTTTAAGTTTGTAATTGTGTTTGTCGCCCTCTTGAGTCCAAAAATTGAAAATAGACAAAAGATGCCTTTTAACTCCTCTTTTTGTTATGTGAGGGAGAATATGATAACCTAACTTCTAATAAAGTACAATGTGAACTAAGCTTTACATCCTATTCGAGGGACACTCAAAAAGTCTTTTCCCCTTGCTTTACTGAAAATGTTTCTACTGGAGGGTCACATTACTTCTTAATTCTACTTCACTATATCATCTCATGGAACATGATAAAGGAAATTAAGTATTGATAATAATAGCAAGAATAAATTTTAACGAACTTATGATTATTACAATCATTCCTATTGATATTATTATCATTAATATCTATCTTCTTCTAATTTCTGTCGTGTGCAGCTTTGTCTTTCTTTTTGTCTTGTCCTGTCAGTGTCTCGTTTTATCTTGTTCTATTAATTTTTTTTTTTACATGTCCTGTCTTATCTTATTATGTCAGTTTCCTGTCCTTCGTGTTCCGTCTTGTCATTCTTTCCTTCGGACACTTTAAAATGGATTATGAAAATGTGTTATTATATTAAATCTATTTTACTGTGATTATTAAGACACTTTAAAATGATTCATAAAAACAATGTTCATATTATATTTATTCTTGGGAACCTACAAAAACAAGCTATGTTTTTCATTAGGTTCCTGTTTCATTTCATGATTTTGAACTTACTTTCTCAACTGTGTTCTTTATTGTACAAATAATTGATATGAAATGGAATCAATTCGAGTCAATCAATCATTATCAACAAATTGTGCTCATAGACATTACTTGTTTAGGGGAGTCCGGAAATATGCTTGTGTATCCGTACCATCAAATATAACCCCCCCCCCCCAATACAAATATATTTGTCGTACCTAGCTGATTCTGTTTCCTCGAAATCACAGCACTATATTCAATGTTAGACTCGCATCACTCTGCCCCATCCAGAAATTTATCTTGAATCCTTCACATAATGCAGGAAATGCAATAATTTCTTAGTGACTCTGAATGCCTGTTATGGCAATTGTATATACTGTCCTGCTTCATATGTGATTTAAGTTTAATTGAATATTTTTGTCAATGATCAATAGCATATTTGTATACTTTTTGTTTTTTTTGGGGGGCACACCAAGCACTATGTACAACTTCTTCTCAATTCTTTCTGTCTCTCTCTCTCTCCTCTCTAGCTCTCTCATGCAAACAAGAACATCCCCCTCCTTCTCTTTCTTTCTCTCTCTTTATCTCTCTTTTTGTCGTTTATTACCCCTCTTTTGTTGTCACATAAGTCATTATCATTTTAGTACATTACTCTCTCAGACACATTTCTCCTATAAACAAATCTAACTAAATAAGAATAAACGTTGAATAGCACAAAGCAATCAAATCTTAGGATAAATACTTTCGTCTTGATTATGACTGCATTTATTTCTTTGCAATATAACTGGAATCGTTTTTGTACAGTTCATTTCACAATTACATGTACAATCATTAAAAATTGATAAATCATAATAATAATAATAATAATAATAATAATAATAGCCTAATAATCCACTCCAAATTTTATTAAACCGAAATAGAAATTCTTTTTGCCCAATTGATCGTGAGCCCGGCAGCCACTGAGCAGCGCCACATCGATGTTGCTCTATCCCTTATTGTTGAACGCCAAACAAGGTAGCAACAACTCCCATCTTTTAACGTCTTTTGGTATGAAGCGGCCGGGATTCGAACCCACGACCTCCCGGTTGTGAGGCGGATGCTCTACTGACTGAGCCAACACTCCTGTGTAATGAATCATGTTTGAATATCAAAATTGCAACTTATTTAACTGTAGCCCACACTCTTGGCAAAAATACAACATGGTAGCTCTATAAAGAAGGGGGGTACCGGTGTTCTTGGAAAATTCTGAAATGAAAATTCACAAGGCCACTGATTAGGGGGAGGGAGGGTTACAATAAAGTTTGAGTACTGCCACAACGGAAGAGGAGCTTAAAAGAAAATCATTAATTACTTATATTTTTTGTGTATGACATACAAAGTTGTCAGCTGCATACGTCCCTGTTGCCTCATCAAATTGCAGATCTGAGATTTACATAGATGTTGTAATCTAACTTTTCAAACATTATTTCTTATTCTATGTCTGATTTCTTTCAAACTTTCACCAGTCTATTACACTCATTTTTTTCTGCTTTAACATAAATCAACTTGTTTCAAAGGTTGGATTGCCTTTTAAATATAAACTATTAGCAATTAATATTAGTCCTACATGCCAAATCCTTCTAAAAAACATACAACACTGTAAGTTTATGGGATTAAAACTTCTTACATGCAACTTTCATATGATGGATGACCTTAGTCTGTACTGTTCTTAGTGAGGAAGGAGGGAGGTTGTCACTGTCAAAATAATAATAACAATATGCTCAAGGCGCTCCAACTATTACCCTGGCTCTGCTAGGCAGCCGCTTTCGGTGCTCACAGCAGAGTGGCAAATGTAGATTAATATCTTGCCAAAAGACATTACTGCTGTGGCGGGACTTGAACCATGGATCCTGTGATCCACAGTCCAACGACTTATCCACTAGACCACAAAACCTCTAAATGGAGGCACATTCGGAGTCAGAGTCTCCTGTCAGCGTTGCAGTCCCCGTTTAGTCCAAATCCATCTAGCTCATAGTAACTCTTGAATCCACCCTATGCCTTCCGTTATATCGAAGATCTCGTTTCTTGCCACAATTGATCTCTCCATCACGATCCCACCTAACAATAACTTCTGTATTTTTGTCCATCCTAAGAGGTAATTGACAAAAGATTGTTACAATCAAGTTATCAGTAACTCGGTTCAATGATAAGTAGAGAGGACATAGTAATTTTATTTCATAAAACAGGAATGAAACATAAAAACAGGTATTAAATAAAAAGTGGTTTTACTCTGTCCTAAATTGATATTTTGAAATATACAGTAACTATAAATGAAAATCAGAATATAAATTTAAGGTCTACTTTTAACAGAAAAAAGCAAAGCATGCACCGAGTAGAAAAGCAAATTTGCAATTGTTTTATAAATACTGTTGCGCCATCTATTCACTTAGAATGCAATTTGTGGCATTGTGGCACTAAATTCCTGGTAGGAAATCAGAGTGGTATAACTCCTATTTAAAAATATGAATGGCTTACCTGTGTTCAACACTTTTAGGTTGGGAGGATTGGTATATTGTTTAAAAAAAATTGTGACAGCATATGGTACTATTGTATTCAATTTCAATAAAAAATGTAGAGGACATCTATACAGTATTTATCAACCACTGAAGATGATATGATAGGGTTCCATATGTATTACTGGGTTTGTTGTCAATCATTGAATTGATATGTTCATATCTAAAGAAGATATAAAATCTGCAGGTTATCAGCAAATTTGTGATGAATGTTATAAACTCAGTAAGTAACAATGAATGCACTTGCATGTACTTGTCTGCCAGATTGAAAGAAACTTTATTATAGCAACTTTCAGAAAGACCACTCAATAAGGATCAATATTCAAAGTTAGTCAAGCGTATAATATCATTCATTATCATTTATCGTGCAATTATCGCACATAGACACGTGTGATGTAGCAGCGGGTAATATAAGAGCATATTACCATACGTTTCACATCTGGGTACTTGTACATGATACATGTATAAGTGATACTTGAAATATAAGAAGAGGATAATTGATAATAATAACATTGACTGGCTCACATTTTGGTTGATATGAGACAATATTGCCCTCAACATAACCATATTGCCCTCGTCTTCGACCCGGCCAATATGATTATATTTGGGCAATATAGTTTCATATTCCCATTAAAGCCAGTCAAAATTATAAAAATATTTCCTATATAAACAATATAAAATGTAACAAACTAGGTTAAAACTTACCTTTGATGACTGAGGGGACTTAGCTATTCAGTCGGTCGGTCTGTCAGTCGTTTGGTCTGACCTCCAAACCGTGGTATTGGAAAAGCGATCAGTTCAAGGGCAGAGGGTGAAGATGCTGGGTTGAAAGAAGAATATATTTGATAACTCATGATGGATGCAGAAAACCCCCAACACAGCTCGTACAAGAAGCTATACTGGGATGATATGATTTTAAAATCGCATCTCTTCAAAAAATTACAGGCATCAGGTTAATGCATATTATTTCATTTTTTCTGTGATGAAACAACACAAATTAGTGTTAACTCTCCTTCTTCACCCCCTTCCCCCTATGAAAAAAAGACAATAAGAAAAATACAAAATATAAGATGAAGCCTGTCGTCTTGTAAGTTGATACACCATAAGTAGCTCAAACATGACATGTTGGCAAAATGAATGTCTGTCACGCACATTAAAGAACGAGGAACTTGTGTTTGATGCCTTACAATACCATCAACTGCCTAAAACCTTTCAAAGCAAGATCAGTCATGCATTTATGAAAAAAAATTAAGTATTTGGGAACCCGTCATCTTTGGAGGGCCCTCCTAGCACCCCCACCACTTTGCGCACATTAGAAAATTATTTCCCAGCATAGTTTTGTCCATGGATCATTGTTATGTAAATGAAAATAGTTCATTTGTTTGCTAAAGATTGACCCCCTCCCCCTCACCAGCCCAACTCCCAATCTATAACTTTTCTTTTGGAGCTAACTTCCTTACCACACATACCTTGTCAATTCGCTAAAAGCTCTCCACATCAGCTGCACAAACTCCTACATGGACATCAACCACTGGGGTGCTAGTGGTCCCTCATCTCTTGCGTATCCCAGCTGTCTATTCTACTGGTAAACTATGAACAAATATGAAAAGTATTTGTTTAATTTTTCTGCATTTTTTCAAACAAGCCACTTCATCTCACGGTTGGATATCCCTTTAACTTATTAACAAGCACATCATTATCTAAAGCAATTAAGAAGACCTTGAATAATTAAGTCTCAGTCTTGCAAACATGGGATGAAACAACCCAAATTAGTGATAACTCCCCCCCCCCCCCTCTCAACGTGACGGACATGTGCGATAGACCAGAAGCCACTAGTACTATTATTATAAGCAACCCCCCCCCCCAACAACAACAACAAAGCCTGTCATCCTCTAAGTCCAAGGCAAAAGGTACACCTTAAGTAGCTCAACCACAATTTTATTGGCAAAATGAAATTATCATGCACAATAAAGAGGGGGGAATTTGTAGTGGACGTCTTCCCATACCACCAGCTTTATCTTTGTCTTTAAAGCAAATTAATTAAGAGCAGGCATGCGTTTATGAGCATAAAGCCGAGTGTATGAGAAGCCACTCCAGCCTATGCTAGGTTGACCCACCCCCCCCCCCCCCCCATTAGTACCTCAACAACATGCTAAAAGCTCTCCACGTCAAACTCCTACTTAGACATCAGCCACTGGGAGTGCTACTGATGGTCCTCTCAGCCGGCTATTCTACTGGTAAAACCGGGAAGAAACATGAAATGTATTTGCTTCATTTTTCTGCATTTGCTGAAATTAAGCCACTTCATCTCAATTCTCATGGTTGGATTTCTCTTTAAATTATTAGCAAGCACACAATTGTTTATTCATTCAAGCATACCTGGCTTTACTATTCAAGTCTCAGTCTCGTATTTATAACATGAACATGGAAAGAGCTTACGAGGGGATCATTTAATATTTAAATCTAGTAGGAGTACGTAATTACGTAGTTCTAGATCTAGACTCTAGGCTCGCGCTCGCGCTCAACATTGACATTGAATTTTAACCAAAATGTGCCCTTGGCTAATTGGGCCTTGCCTTGGAGGCTGGGCTAGTACTGCTTAATCAGTTAACATAGTTAATGTAAAATTATTATTAATGATATCTCCCCTTCCCTGGCCTGGCCTGGGCTTCACTCTTCAGCGAATTCGCCTTGTGACTCGTGACATTGTTGTTACTGCATGTAACTGCTCCTGCACTTATACATGTTCAAGCTTATCTAAGATACTGTGTTACTTAGTAGCACTCTGTTGATAGTACTAGTAGTAGTAGTAGGCGAGTACTACGTACTACTAGATCTGCATACTAGTAGACCGACAATACAACTCACGCAGAAAACAGTGCGCGGGACTGTAACGACCTATCTCGCCATTTCGTAACTTGATATCCGTTCAGAATATGAGTTTGTTTATACTGCTACAGACGATATTATTAAATGATGCATAACATTGTTTTAAAATAAGTGAAAATAATTACCTAGGGCTGTCAGATTCCTCTAACAATTCCGCCAGAAGCACCGGCATCTGTGACAAAGGCTTCGCGGAGCCGGTTCGTGTACGATTATCAATAGCAGACTACATTTGCGCGTAAGAGGCCACTTCGTGAAAACGGTGTTTGCCAGTTGTACCGCTTGTGATACGTTTCGTGACGTCACGTATGACGTAATTAAGCAAGATTAGAGTTTGAAAGTTACTGAAGTTGTAGACATTTATATACATTGCTCAAAAACGGTCAAAACTCGAAATTGAAAATTTCAACGATTTTGGCCACTGAGGCCACTTCGTGAAAACGGTGACGAATTATATGAAACACTTGGTGGCAATTAGGGGAGTTTGACGTGATGACCGATGGCACCCCTCTGTTAATAACCGAATAGTCCATGGTGTGTCATGAATATTCATGTTTTTGCTTACCTCGGCTGAATGTTTGCTTTTACTAAATTGAAAAATTACGGTGGGGGGGTTGGATGAAATGGACATAATGAAATAGGCAGAAGTGATCTATGATAATTCATGCTTTTTATGTTTCGTGTGCTCGACCTATAATCTTCAAATCGCTTGGCAAACTGAGTCCAAAGTTAGACTTGTTTCACATGTGTATTATAGGCAATGACGAGCTTGCAACCTATTTTGAAAAATTACGGTGGGTGAACTTTCAAAAGTCAATGAGACATGAGGGCTCCAATGAAAGAGCTAGTGATAACGTACGTCGGGGTGGATGTGCTTTTCGTTTAAACAAAAAATGAATTTTTAACGATTTTTTTTTTTTTTTAAACGTCCATAGGCTAACATGTTAGGCTGCTGACTCTGACCATGCTCTGACGATAAGGGGCGTTGTGAAATGAGACTAAACGGAGCAATATGCACACCGCGTTAGAGTGTCTCGTTCAAAGGCCAAGTTGACAAATATATTTCAAAGGGATGGTCCACCATTATACAAATATGGTTTAAATTTAAACAGAAAATGAGAGAGAGTGAAGGTTTAAGCAATATCCGATTAAAAATAGGAAAGCCATGAAATTTTGAGGTTGGCATTAGTGAAACACAACTTTGCAACACTGTGACGTGTTTTGCGAGCTTTTCTCCAATTTGCTCTCCACGAAAATGTCATAGACTTTTCATTTTCAAAGTCAAAGGCTGCCGACCGATTTTGAACTCGCCGCCCAGTGACCGACTGATTTCCCAGCGGCGATCGACCGGCGACCGGGCTGCGACCGCTCTGCAGCCTTTGACCTAGCGGCTTCGATTTTGACTTAACTCGCTCGACGGCGAACACTGGATTAGGTCGGTGCCCGAGTAGCGACCGAGCGTTTTTTGGTGCCCCGCCGAACACCGGCCGGCCGCCGGGCAATTTCTTTAAAATCAACCGGTGGCCGGTGGGAGACCGCTCGGGAATCGGTTGGTCATCAGTCGGTCACTGCCGGGACGCCGCCCGTAGAAGCTCTCCGATTTCGCCCAGTTTTGACCAAAAATGGACAAGCGACCGACGGGAAATTGACAGCGCACCACCCAGACATCGCAGGTGCTCAACAGCCTGCTCGAAAAATCGCTGGGCGATGCCTAAATTCCAACGCCGACCGAGCAGACTACAAATCGGTCGGTCGCCGCTCTGAGTTGTTATGAACGCCACCAACCAATATACCATGGAGACGGGTTGTTCGATATTCGGCTTCGCCAGCTACATTTACCGACATACAGGCTCTCTAATTCCTCAAAAAATAAGGCAGTAAGGATGAACAATTCATTTAATAGCTATTAAAATGATATCATAACCCAAATTGATTTCTTACATTTGTAGGAACAAACTTTATATGAGACTCCTACAACATTCCACTGATGCATCAATTACGCCTAAATATTTCAGTCTCTGTGTCAAAACTTTTTTTCTGAATTTTTCTGAATTTTTAAAATAGAACATACTCATATACATAGAGTAACAAAGTCATGAGTAGCTACAATAGTGAGCATGCATAGACCATGCAATCTTCATTGTCTAACAGTTAATGCACTCTCATACCCACTACGAATGACGGGGCTTGTGCCCGTCAATCAATTCAGCCCATGATTTTATTTAACAAAATGGCACCAATATAAGTTGCCGAACTAACGCTATTAAACTAGACCTCTTTCCGAATGATTTAATCTTCTTACCTTCAAACTTGTCCATGGCATATTGGTTTTTTCTTCCGCGATCTATATAACTTGGGGACCATCAAAGGAATGTGTTCACCAATCAATCTCAAGTGATTTTGTACCCTGCTCTTAGTTTATCGAGTATTCAAACTACCAGCGCGAGTTATGTAAACAACACCCTTGAGACGTGTGCGTGACAAGAAAAGCTTAATAAATAACAATTCCCTGTATTAATCTCTTAAAGTCCAGGGCATCGCAGACCTCTTGAAAAGTATGTTGATTTATAAGTGCGCGTTTCAATGGTATGTTGGCGAACTTGTACTTATGACAGTATCCTGAAAGAATCTTGACGTCATGTTTGCTAAGCCAATTCAACCATCTACAAATATTTGGTTTTATATGATGATATAGACTTTGCACAGTTACTCAAATACGGTTACTTATTGAGCAAAACTTCGAGGGTTCTGAACCAGTATACATTCTTAATCATCAGGAACCCCACAACATAACTCCCCCCCCCCCCCCTCTCCTCAATCCCCGATAAACCGAGATTTTGCGTATAATAATTTAGGCTACAGTCAAGCAATGCCGTTGGAATTGGTTTGGAATTTTAAATTTTTAAAGCACTTTTGATCACACAACCAAATCGAAGTCTGCACTTGACATTCTCTATGTCTGATTATTTTTACGCAACGTCTATAATCATCGTTTAGAGGAATTTAGAGTTAAAATTAACTGCTGTAGCACTAATTAGGCATATAAAGGGTTTTATAGCGATAACTCCTTTATCACATGTTAATGTTTTCTTTTCTTAGTTTTGTTCATATTATTTTAGAATGTACGGGGGGGGGGGGGGTAATTCCATAAACGAATTAAAAAGAAAACCCAAACTGAGTACACCTTCTCTTAAATCCACCTCTGCTTACTTTTCAATGATTGTTCTCGCCTTCCACCCGTTTTCAAAAAGTTCATAGTATTGTAGCTAAAGTCGGGGAAATAACATCCAAAATACTTTTGAAGCACACACAAATACTATCATAGTTTGATAATGCACTATACAAGTAACGAATAATACTAACTTAAGTAAAGTACATGAGTTTATTTTGGTAGAATACGGCCAAGTATGACACTGTAGTACAATGAATATTTCTTGCATTCAAAATTGTATGCCATCATGGGGAGACGAAATTTATTAGAATTGTGTCAGGTGTAATGCAATTTGCAACCTACTTAGTGAACTAGGTACCAATAATTTGATCAAGCCCAAATTGATAAAGTTATCTAAATTCTTAGAATACATAGGTTTGTATTTGTTGTGATAATTATTCGAACAAATAGTCGTACATGCGGCGTTAGGGTGTCTCGTTCAAAGGCCAAGTTGACAAATGTATTTTAAAGGGATGGTTCATCCTTATATTAACTTGGTTTCAATGAAATCAGAAAATGAGAGAAAGAAATTAGTGAAGGTTTGAGCAACATCCGATTAAAAATAGGAAACTATGAAATTTTGAAGTTGTCATTGCTGATACGCAGTTTTTTATAAACTTTCATTTTCTTATTAATTGATGACTCAATACAAAAATTGTTAATGCTGGTGTTGTATATTGCTATATTTAAATTTAAGGTGAATCGGTATGGTTGAAAATGTTCTAAAGAGAAAATATAATTGTTTAAAGTTATTTTTAGTTCAAGGCAATTGGGAGGGGAGATTGCAAGATACGTCACAGAGTTTCCAATTAGTGTTTGATAAATCGCACCTTTAACATTAAAAACTTACTAAATTTTATCCAGATTTTGCTAGAAATTTCAGTAAACTGTTTGTCTAAGTTGTCTTCTTCCATTAAAACTAACTTAATATTGGGATGGACTTCCCCTGTAACGGGTCTTCATATTCCTATACAATTTGAGTACACTCCATTAATTGTGGTTGATTGGCATTGATCAGCTGTTATGCCTGTTTGTGTAAACATGTATTCACAAAGGACATTTCTCTGTATGCATGCATATACAAATAATACACAGCAGTGAGGGCATTTGTAAGAATTACTCACACAAGGTACCGAGTGTGGGTAATTTTATAATGCCCGAACAAAATGATGTGTATTATTTGTTTATAAATTTATGACTTGGATCCTTGTTATTTGATCAATCACCCTCATATCAAACTCAAAGGCCCGAATTCACAAAGGAGGTTTAAATCTAACCAATGGTTTAAATCCTCATTTACATAACCCATGGTTTAAAATGAGCGCAAATTGAGGCGTACCTTGCCTTGCGCGCGTCTAATATTGGACCTCTGACTTGTGTCGCGCTTATGATAAAAACAACAAGCTAGATGTGTTAATGACCGGTCATTACCATTGGGTAATGACCGGCCACGTGTACGCTTTCAACCAATCATTTGATTAGGATTTACGTCATCATCTTATAAACAAAATTTATATACTGGGAGGATATCAAGCACAATTTGAGAACCTCGATACCGGCCTTCAAACCTTAAATATTTTTTGTCTTTTATCTGTTAAATGTCAGACTAGAACGCTTGAAATGATGCACCAACGTAATTGCCAGAATATACTTCCAGTGTGTAATAGTGACAACATTAATTCCCGCTCTTCAGTCGATGCTGTTTGTATATTTCGCCACGTCCTGAGCCTATCCAATTTTCCTTTACCAATGTTCCTATAACACACTTGTTTGGCGTTTTTGTCCATGAAGCGTTTTCTCTATCGTAACGGCCAAATGTGCTGGGTGTAGTCCATATGTGAATAGACTAATTGGGTAGTAGACGAACTGGTTATAGACCAAACGGCAATTCACCCTCCTGGCTCTGCCGCCTCACATTGTGTTAGAGCCGGTCCGATTGCATCGTGTAAAATATGGCTCAATAAAGGATTTTGAATTACAGCAAACATGGGTTTAAGATTTTGAATTACAGCACATTTTCAACACAAAACGAAAAATATAAACATTTTAGTGTGCAATAAGTGCATTAATTTTTTTGAACAGATTTGGGGTGATTTTTCTAAACATGGGTTTAAGTTACTTCTCCATAAATTA